CTATCTATCTATCTATCTATCTATCTATCTATCTATCTATCTATCTATCTATCTATCTATCTATCTATCATCTCTCTCTCTCTCTAATCCACCCACCCTTCCAATTTGTACCCCCTCATTGAGTGAATGATTGATATGAAGGAAAGCAGAATGAAGGAGGATGCAATTGCCCCCCACCCACCCCCCAAAAAAACCCCAGAAGAAAAAGAAAAAAGAGGAAGCGCGAAGCAGCTGCCCGAGAGGTGGGGGGGAAGACTAAAAATGCTGCGGTTGGACGGAGTCAACGTGATCCTTGAAATGAAAATAAAAGGGAAGTTTGTGGCTTTCAAAGGCGAAAGGGCCGTGTGGTCAAAAGCGAGGACAGTTTTCGAGGAAAAGAAGGACAGGGAAGAAGAAGAGGAAGGAAGCGGCATTAGCAGTACTACTAGTAGTGATTTGGAGGTCACCGAAGGCAATGAGCGAGGATCAGATTGCAAAAACCAACAGGAAAGAGTGAGAAAATTGGGGAGTTAATGACTTGGAGAATGAATGAGACCCTCGAAAGGGAGGAGGTGAGAAGTTTAAAAGGGCAAGAAGGCAACCTCTGCGTGGAAGCGGTGAACCCGAGGGAGCCAGCTCAGAGACGTGGGAAGAAGAGAGATAATGAGAGGAGGGAGGTCTTGGGCCTACGTTTCCCTTGTCTTTCCTCCTCGCCCAGCCTCGGTTTTTCTTTCCTTTACAACGCCCGTCTCTTTTTCTGCACCCAGCTTAACATTGCTAAACCCTCCCCACCTCCCACAAAACGGTAGCAGAATTTTGGTCTTCAGGTTACTACCCGAGTAAACTAGCAAATATATTGTAGAACAGCCTGGTTTACACACAGCTTAATCAGGGTGAGGTTAGGTTTTCTCTCACAGGGTCAGCCACAAACGACGCAAGCAGATATTATTTGCCTTTGAAACTGGATGTGGCCAAAGATGGCATTTTCAAATGAACCATTTTGCCTGATTCCAAGATCCTGTTACTAATCATGACGAGTATATAGGCAGTTCTACTTCCAGGTTGCTTCTCTCCTGGATTACTTTCTACCTGTTGTTTCTTGTCCTGCCTTCAGGGGCTTTGGAGAATAGATTGAACTCCCTCTTCTTTGGGGCAGCCCCTCAGATATTGGAAGGCTGCTATCCTGTCCCTCCTAGTCCTTCTTTTCATGAAATCGTTGCTGTTAGTTGCGAAGTTGTGTCTGGCCCATCGCGAGTCCACATGGACAATGTTCCTCCAGGCCTTCCTGGATTATCTAACTGGGAGATACACTATCAGGCCACGGCCTTAACGTGGATGAAAGAATGGATACTGCTGAGGAATAAAAGGTTACTCACGTTGGAAGGACATGGTTTTACAAATGGGCTGGCATGCGTTTTTGTGGGACAGGAAAGGTAAAACACACGAGTGCTTTCAAAGGCATATGGTCAGGGATGCATTGTTAACGTATATGGGGAAAAAATAGGGAACAGCATTATATGGAGGTACCAGTCCAGTTATCAACAATGGAAGCACTTGTACACTCAAATGTTTGTAAAATGGGAAGTGTTACTAGATATAAATATATTTTAAATGAAAAGGGTGAGCTGTCCTCTACCATCTTCTGGAGTCCATTTAAGCTCACGCCGACTACTTCTACTTCTACTTCTACTTCTACTCCTCCTCCTCCTCCTCCTCCTCCTTCCTCTTTCGCCCTCCATTGTTCCCAGCATTCGGCTCTTCTCCAGGGAGTCCTTCCTTCTCATGAGGTGGCCAAAGTCTTTGAGTTCCATCTTCAGGATCTGGCCTCCTAAAGAGCAGTCAAGGCTGGTCTCCTCTAGGACTGACCGGTTGGATGGCCTTGCGGTCCAAGGGACTCCTCCTCCAGCACCAGAGTTCAAAGGCCTCCATTCTTCGGCACTCAGCCTTCCTTGTGGTCCCACTTTCACAGCCATGCATTGCAACTGGGAAAACCAGAGCCTCGACTCTACGTCCTTTGGTTGGCAGGGGGACGTCTCTGCTTTTTCAGTGTGCTGTCTAGATTTGCCATAGCTTTCCTCCCCAGGAGCAAGCCTCTTTTAATTACTTGGCTGCAGTCCCCATCTGCAGTGGAGCCCAGGAAAATAAAAGCGGTCGCTCCCTCCATTTTCCCCCCCCATCTATTTACCAGGAATTCAGAGGGCCGGATGCCATGATCTTAGTTTTCTTAATGAAGAAAATTGGGTATGCCTAATTTAATTCATTAAATTAGGCATGCCCAATTCCTGCAACCGTTCTTCGTATATTTTTGTCCCTGGGCCTTTTAATCATCTTAGTTTCTCTTCTCTGCGCTTTTTCCAAAGTCTCAACATCTATTTTTTTTTTTTTAATCACGGTGATCAAAACTGGATGCAGCGTTCCACCTGTGATCTTACCAAGGCATTATAAAGGGGTATAAACACTTAATATGGTCTTGATACTATCCCTTTTCTTTCTGAATTTTGTTCTGTTGCAACGTACATAAAATAATGAGGGAAGAAAAGGTTCTGCCTGGGCCATTTGGCTCCGAATTCTCTTAAATGGGTTTCTTGCGTGCCCTTAATCAGCGCCCGGGTTTATATGTCTGTGGAGATTCTCAAGTCATCCAGGTCAGGTGCTTTTTCAAAAGACTTTGGGTTTTTTTTCCATGAAGGCGTTTTGCTTCTCATCCAAGAAGCTTCTTTGGTTCTGACTGAACGGCGAAGGATGGAAGGGTTTGTATTCCTTGCAGTTATTTGGCTGTCTGCACTCTTTCCGAGAGTCGTTGAGGCCACTTGGACTTGAAATTCATGTTTTGGATAGAGAGGACTGCTGGCTTGAAAGAGGGGTCAAAAAGAGGCCATCTATATGTCCAAATTAAACAGCCCTCTCTCAACAGAGGGGAGAAAGATATAACATCAGCTATCTCCAATCTACAGCACAGTCCTCTCAGCAGTTCCAGGAAGGCTCCACACCCATTTGCACCACTCAGGCGTGGAAATAGATAGACCTCCAAGTGGCCTCAACGACCCTCTAAAAGGAGGCAAATGACCAGCTGTCTGCAAGGAATATAAATCCTTCCATCTCCTCACCATCCAGTCAGAGCTGAAGAAGCTTCCTGGATGACAAGTGAAACGTCTTCAAAAGAAAAATACAAGAAAGTCCAGGTGCCTTGGGGGGAAAAAAAGCACTTTTGGGCCAGTTTGATATGAAGGCCTGTCCCCTGCCAAGAGGCCGAACACACCTACCTTGTATGAATAAACAACCTTGCAGGTCAACGGGTAATTTCGAAGGGTGCCCGAAGGACTGGAGTTGCTGTCTTCAAAAGCATCCAGGCCGTCTTCGCCCTCTTCCCTTTCTAGGTCAACGTTCAGCTAACAGAGAAAAACAGGAAGAGATTGTAAGCATCTGTTAGTGAGTACAAAGAGTCCTCGAATTACAGCGGATTGTTTAGTAGCGGTTTAAAGTTACAGCGTCGCTGAAAGAGAAGTGACTCAGGATCAGCCCTCGCACATGTGACTTTTGCGGCATCCCCACGCGATCAAAACCCAGGTGCTTGGCCACTGGCGTGTATTTAGGACGGTTGCAATACTGTCACGATTGTCTCTTTCCCCCTTATCAGAGGCGTCACGGGTAAAGAGTAGGAACGTCCAAGCCGACTGCCTCGTAGCAAGGTTCCATGTGCAGAAAATCCAACCAAGCCTGGGGTGGGGTTCGTGAGCATATAAGTTTCCATATCTGCAATCAATTTGTTTTTTTGTGTTGTACAAGTTGTCTTCAAGAAGTGAGGGGAGCCGAATGTCAACTGATAAAACATTTTGTATACACGTTTTATAGTTGTCAACAGAAAGAAGGGGGGAGTTTCAAAGAGCAGGCGGCAGTGTGGAATCAAAAGGACATACCATACGTATTTTTCTTCAAAGACTGATTAGATGACCGAAGCTTCTGCCAGGCAAAAATCTAATTGGAGAGCATGATTGATGACTCTTGGCTATGGAGGCGTTTCGTTGGATGATACCCCCAGAGGGGTGGGGGGAAAAGCAAGATCAAGGGTGACAGTGTGTTATGTAACTCAGAGTCGGCTACGCCGCAGGCAGTCCCTTCCTCCTGTGCGAACTGGAGCTGGGGAGGAGGGTCAGTCACCTCTGACAAAATCCCAGAGGTCGGACAGATCCCAAGAGAATATCAAGACCTCAATGAAGTATCCAGAGAGACTGAATGTGACATCCTACTTCCCAGGGATGGGCTTCAAATTTTTTAACAACCGGTTCTGTGGGCATGGCTTAGGTGGTGGGCGTGGCTTGGTGGTCATGTGATTGGGTGGACATGGCTTGGTGGTCATGTGACTGGCTGGGTGTGGCCAACTCAATATCACTCACATTGAGGCACGCATCTCCTTGCCTGGCCTCTCGTGACTGTGGGGATGCTGCAACAGTCGTAAGTGTGAAAAAGAGTCATAAGTCACTTTTTTCAGTGCCATTGTAACTTTCAATGGTCACTCCACACAAGCAAAGTACCAGCAACGGAGGGGGAAAAAAACTCCAGAGAAGTTCCTGAGACAGGAAGTCTAGTCCTGCCAAGAAGGTTATAAGGGTTAACGGAGAGGCAGTTTCTGTAAGCAACACCAGAATGTTTCCTTCCTGCCTTCCTTACAGGATTAGCCCTGTAATTTCTTCTAACAACCGGTTCTCCGAACTGCTTAGAATGTTAACAACCGGTTCTAGCGAATAGGTGCGAACTGGTAGAATCTGACCCCTGCTTAGCTCCCCAGCGTGAGACAGACTGCACCATAGAGATAATTCCTGGGGGCAAAACTACAAAACCCAAAATGGACGCCATGACAAAATGTTTTATGAGTTGACAAATATCTTAAAGTAGTGATGACTAGCCTTTTCGTTGTCGCATGATGAAAGTGCGCGCACATGCACGCCTGCACCCATAATGCAATGTGCGCATGGCCCCCCGCCCCACCTTGCGCATGCGCACGCACCTCTCTCCATGCATGCGTGGCAGATACCCGACAGCCAGCTGGCTGGCGGGGGGGGGGTGGCGCGCCCGTGCATGCGCAGTGAATCAGTTCTGGGCAGGCAGACATGCCACTTCCTGCATGCGTGCCATTGGTTCGCCATCACGGTCCTTAAAGGGTCACGTGATCACCGTCTGCCATCTTTCCCAGCCGGCTTCCAATAAGCAAACTCAACAGGGCAAGTCAGATCTGCTTGATTCAACTTAACAACAGAATCATAGAGTTGGAAGGGACCTCGGAGGTCATCTAGTCCAGCCCTCCTGCTCAGGCAGGAGGCCCTGTGCCATTCCGGGCAAAGGGCTGTCCAGTCTCTTCTTAAAAACCTCCAGTGTTGGAGCATCCACGACTTCTGGAGGGCCCAAACGCAAGCGATTCACTTCAAAAACGATGGCAAAAGGATTATAAAATTGGACGCGACTCACTGAACAAGCATCTTGCTCGCCAGTGGAGGTTGTGGTCCCAAGTGTAGCCACTGTCAGGATTCCAGCAAGCGCCCGAATTGAATCGTGATCCTCGAGCCAAACTTCAAAAAACTTCCAAGGATTGATTAGAGGCGACATCCTGGCACGGCCCTGTAGGAAGCCAAACTCTGGCCTACGTCATTTCCAGTCTCCTGTGACCCTGTTTCCCCCCCCACTTGGGTGTGTCATAAATCAGATTCTCCAACTGAGCACCTTCATGGGATGGGTGTCATCATTCACGTTCTCCAATTCAATATATTCGTGGGCAAAAGCTCTGGTAGTTTAGTTACAACCTTTTAAAGATAAGAGTTGGAATGTACTTTCGCTTCCAAACTGCTGCACTGTTCTCCCAAATTTCCTTCCTCTCCCCCCCCTTTTTTTATATGGCAACTACTAAAACAGGCAGAGGAATGTTTTATGAGTTGACAGCCGTAAGTCAAGGACTACCTGTCACAAATGGGGATCGCATGATCATCATAACTAGAAGCCAGTTGCCAAGCGGCTGAATTTTGATCACGTGACCCTGGAGATGCTGCAGAGGTCATTAAGCATGAAAAAAGTCATTTTTCCCCCCAGTGCCGTTGCAACTTTGAACGGCCACTGAATGAATGATTGTAAATTGAGCTGTTATTCCACATGATTTTCAGCACGTTCTTCATATTCCTTAGGATTCTTGACGAATGTGTCTTTTCTTTTATGTACACTCAGAGCATTTGCACCAAAGGCAAATTCCTTGTGTGTCCAATCGTGCCTGGCCAATAAAAGAATTCCATTCCATTCCATTGTATATTCCTCTCCTCTCCTCCTATTCTTTCTGACGGTGAGAACAATCAACCATTGGAACAGAAGTTGCCCTTGGAAGTTGTGGGAGCTTCATCATCACTTGAGACTTTCAAGAAGAGACTGGACTGCCAACTGTCAGAAATGGTGTAGGGACTCCTGCTTGGGCGGTGGGTCGGACTAGATGACCTACAAGGTCCCTTCCAACTCTGATTATCTGTTACCTGTTATTCCATATTCTATTCTGTTCTATATTTTATTCTATTCATTCCATATTCTATTCTGTTCTATTCTATATTCTATTTTTTATTTTATTCTATATTCTATTCTATTCTATTCCATTTTCTATTCTATTCTATATTCTATTCTATATTCTATTCTATTCCGTTTTATTTTCTATTCTATTCTATATTCTATTCTATTCCATTTTCTATTCTATCCTATCTTCTATTCTATTCCATTTTCTGTTCTATTCTATAATCTATTCCATATTCTATTCCATATTCTTTTCTATATTCTATTCTATTCTATTCTATTCTATTCTATTCTATTCTATTCTATTCTATTCTATTCTATTCTA